TACATATGAGAAATAGGTTTAGCTCTTTTTTAGCCCATGCATTATTCAACGCTATATTGAACTAGCCAGAAGCTGTGTCTTTAGTTGGTCAGTTTTTTGAGAATGAGGGTGTTGAGCAGCAGTCTTTCCATCTGCAGGATATTTGAAGGGCCACAACATCTCTGACCACACCTCAGAGAAGTCCTGTCAACAAGAGGAGCCCGAGCTGGATGACATTCTGACCCCCGGGGCGACCCCCCAGCCCCCCAGGTATGCCGCCCAGTGTCGCTGGGCCTCCCTTTCAGGGCTGGAGCGCGACACGCTGACCTTTCCCGGGGGTTCCCCCATCCAGCTCCACACCGTGCCCCCCGGCCTGCTGCCCAGGATCCCGCTCTTCTACGTCTGCACCAGATGTGGCAAGGTGTTCTGGGAAGGCTCTCACTTTGACCGGGTCCTATCCATGTTTGAGGAGGTCTTACTCATTACAGATGAGGACAGGGACTCTGCTGGGGCTTCTTCTACAGCAGTACAGACCACCTGACCGCCGCAGGGACGCTGACCGCTGCAGGGACACTGACTCTTTACTTTCGTTACTCAGAAAGGAGGTGAACGTTTCAAGCACCTTTTGATTACATTTTTATCTTTTTTTTTTTTGCATGCTATTCAAATTCCTCATGAGTCTGGACACAAAAACAACATTAATTAGTCCCCTAGTGGTATGACATTTAGTTTACCAAGTTTCCTTTTTTAACTGAGTCGGTATGACAACTTAAGTCAGTATCTTTTCTGGCCCACAGCTATTTTCAGCTGGTCGTTTTTATTCATGCTTCAGATTTAGAGTTCATTAAGGTTGTTAGAAGCATTTTCATTTTAGCGTCCCCAAAACATGCTGCAGTTTTTCTACATTTTTGCCATGTTTAGAAGATTCTTGACCAAAAATATAGATTTCTGACTAATGTTATCTACTGGTTCATTTAGGGCACCTTTCACTACAAAGTTATTCATTTTGTTGCATGGTGCGCACAAATTATAGATGGTGACATAAACTTCGAAACAGACCCCACCACAAGTGCTGTGTTCTGCTCTACATTTCCCTCCTCTGACTCAGGGACGCACAGGTAGGCTATACGCTTGTTTCTCTTATTGCTTCACAATAAGTGAGACGCTGCTGATCCCAGCCACCTCGAGGGGATTCTGCACTGGTTTAGAATTAAAGTGAAGTTGAGTCAAGCCATGCCATGCAATGAAGAAATGTTCAATGTAAAGTCGTATGTGCTTTCTCTTTTTTTAATCCTTTTTAAAATTTTGTTATTTTATTCCAAGGCTGTGCTTGGCTGCATGACAGGATCTGCAATACTGTATGTTTGACCCTTTTTTAAAATACATTTGTATGATGTTCAGTTATTTAGCCTGATATGTTCAACTGTTTTTCTGACTGATTTTGTTAAACCAAGAGAGCCTGATATGTTCAACCGTTTGTCTGAATTATATTGTTGAACCAGGAGAGCTGTGTTCACTGTGTCCGTCAGCAGATGTTTCTGACTTCACAAAGCAGATGGTGAAGGATTGAGGGTGGGCAGACTTATGAGATCATCTGAGCTTCACGGATGTCTGTCAGGTGTAACACTAGCACGGGGGTTTCCTACCCCCAGGCTGGAGAGTGGTCAGGTCTCACAGAACAAACCGGCACATACCAACAGAATCCCCTCACATTTTCTCATAAAACTTCTAATCCCAGGCTGAATTTGTATGATTGCAGAAAATGAGGTCGCCCTCAAGGGCCCACATGAGATCTAACGTAGCAAATTCTGCAATTAAAGATTTTCTGGTGTTTCTTGGAAAACTGTGGTAGGCATTTTGTTGAATCTACAGCAGACGGCTACACCCATAAAATGTAAGAATCGTTAACTATAGCCAGATGTGCGCTTTGCTTTATTGATCACACGCATCTAAAAAGCCGCAGGGCTGTTCAAAGACGGGTCATACAGTGAATCACTGAGGTAAATTAGCTTTGAATCACAACAGCTGCAGGAAGAACTCAGCGATTTGGGCGACTGGAGCAGTTCGAGTGCCGTGCAAAACACACATTTCTTGCTTCATACCAGGAATAAACCAAAACCACATTGAAATGACAGACGTAATTAATGGATGGAAGAGGACATTTTTGGATGGCTGTTTTCACCTTTCGTCTCTTACAACATAACATTTTTGGGGGAAGGTTTGACCCAACACTTTTCTCTCAGTCTCTCCGGTTCCTTTTGTTTTAGGTTGGTTAAAAATGAATGATTTATTATTAACTAAATTAGGTTTTCAGCTCCCTCAGCATGATTTGAAAGACACGAGCCAGACATGGAACTGTGTGTAAGCGTAAGGGCAATGCAGAATGTGGATTTATTACACTAAAAAGTAATTCTACACCATACAGGACACATTTTGGATCAAATAATTGTTTTTTTACATACTTCAAACTTATTTAAACCTTTAAACCTGCCTGTTCTTTTACTATTGAAACGGATGCATCCTATTCTGAGTTTAAAAAAAGAGCATACTAGCTTTTAAATTTGCCAAAAGTTGCTCTTGACTTTGAAACAGCCTTTATATGATTAAATAATATTTAGGCAAAATATTTTTGAGACTGATGGATTCATTTCTGAACATGTAAATAAACAGTAAATTAGGTTCATTTTTATAATTCATTCATTCGGAGAGGGATATTGTTTTAATTTTCTATGGGTGTGAGAGTCATGCAGCTAAATGTTCATGGTGTTACCAAAAGCTCTGTTAGAAAGCACAAAAAGAAAAAAAAAGTTACAAAGTTTCAGCCTAAATCTTTTCAATCCTTTCACCAGTAATTACGTTTTTATGCTGAATGTTTCAGTTCCACAGGTACAGTCTTTCACAGCAGCCATAGACTGAGGCTTTGCATGGAAACAATAAAGGGAATTGACACGAATGGACGAAATGAGGTGGAAGATCTAAAGGCTGTTTGTTTCCTCATCACACTTCCTCCCGGTCTTCTGAGTGAGTCCATTATTTAAACAACAGAGGCCTTTTTTGTGTAGATTAAAAAATATACCTGACCGTTTTATTTTTTATTATTTTTATCATATTTATATGGATTTTTTATTTCCAACTTTACAATTATTTGAGTATATGTAAGTATGTTTTATGTGATTTTTATTGTAAGCACTGAATTTAATTTAGGAAATAAACAAAAATGTGAATTACTGTCTGCATTTGATCAGCAATGCTTGGCATTTTAATTAAACCTGTTCATTTAAACATGAAACCATACATTGATAAACCTATATTTTCCGTAGTTATCGAACAAAAAATAAAACTATTGCTGTTAGTTTGACAGATTAAATGACTCACTTGAACAAAAAAAAAAAGGTCCAGCTCAGGTCAGAGAACAGAAATACAGGGAAAATATTTGAAACCAATTGGTTAATGAAAGCATTTTGGGGACAGGGTTACCTGTCCTAACTGTGTTGAATCATCATAAATGCGGCTGGAATGTGTGGAGAAAAGTTGATGATGAACTAGCTGCGTGACTGATCTCCACAGCACAGAACGAGCACAAACTGGTGGGCTGGCTGGCCTAAAGCTGCTCTGTGGAAGCTTTCTGAGCAGAAAAGATCCCAAAATCCGAAAACGAGAGCTGTCTTAGAAGTCTACCTCAAGCTGTCCTTTTATGATATAATATGAGCTCTCTCCTCCCAAACACACACACATACACACACCTTGGATCGTCCCCATGCGCTTATGGAAAATAGACGTCTTTAATATCTAAAGTTGACCTAAGCTTGTCTAAAGTGTTTTTTATTGGGATGAATGAAGCAGACACCCTATAGCTCCCGAACAGCCCGTGCTCCGTCCTTGTCCGGGTGGTCGCAGCCCTTGCAGAGCCTCTGCAGAGCTCGAGCTCTGCGCTGCAGCACCGTGTTATTTGATCCTTGCTCTTTCTTTGCTGGGAAGAAAAGCTCGCCTCTTTCCCACGCTCTGCGGACACGTGGTGCCGGGAATGAATTGGAATCGGAGGAACCTCCCTCCTGGTTAAACGTCACCTCCCTCTCCCTCTCTCTCTCCTCTCTCTCTCTCCTCTCTCTGACACACAAACAGCAGTGCTCTCTGGTATGAATGTAAAAAATTAAAAAAAACATCACAGTCAGCTTTTTGATTCTGTAAAAGCAAGACATTGGGTTTTTTTTTTTTTCGTTTTTTTTCTCGCCTTTTTCTTTCGGTTCGGTTGCGCGTTTTCACATTTGGGCTCCACGGCAAGTTCACATTCCGGGAAGGACCGGGACAGGACGGGAGGCTCCTCCCGTCTTGTCTGGCCCCCTCTGCCTTGGCCTCGGCGCCAAATCTCAGTCCAGCGCTCGGAGCTGCCCGGCGTTCCAGTTTCAGGCATTGCCTGCTCTCAGTCCTAAAAAAGAAACATGCTTTTAATGAGCACAAGGAGACAGAATAGGCACTACCTTATCAACACATCCGAACTTGTTTTAAAATACTGTGTGAATAGGGTGGCGTTGTGCCTGGCACTGCTGGTCGTTTTTACGCACGCATGGAATGCGTAAAGTGCACGAATTGACCCGATGTGGGAATAATGGAGAGCGAGAAATAGAAAAAAATGAGAAGTATTTTATCTGTAGTTAATAGAGTGTGGTTTGGCTGCCTCCCAAACAAACACTATGTTTAAAAAAAAAAAAAAGCCTAGACTGAAATGTATGTGTTGAGGAGGGTATCTGGAGAAAAACTCATCCAGTGGAGAAACGTTTGGCTCCTCCAGTCTGCGCAAATGTTTTCCAAGTGTCCAGACTCGCTGCATCTAAAGCAGTGATAGCAGACAGATGTTCCTGATTTCCCAGAAAACGTTCCGCGCTCTCCAGTAACCTGAGACAAAACAACAGAGCATGCTCGCTCTGCGCTCGGGCAAAAGTTATAGGCAATTAAATGAAAACGAGCAATTATCTTTAATGTAAACACAAACACACTTGCTTTTAAACCGGTGCTAAGTCTCAATGGTGGACTTTGAGCATCTTGGAAAGCTCGTCATGGCTCTGTTTCAGTTGTTTCTGTCCATTCATGTAACCCAGAGGGGAATAGGGGTGAGAGGAGGGGGAACCATCTGTTGTTGGTTTGGGATTGGGATGCTGTCGAGTGAATTTGGGGACCAATCGGACCATACCTGACCGAGACATTGTGAAAATCCATGTTCATATTCAAACGATTGAATGAAAAAAAATGTACTTATGTGAATGTATTCTTATAAAATAGCTTGAAACCATCATTCTTCATCTCGTGCCAGTGAGATGTAAGAATCTCGGGGTCCAACAAACTGCCATCTGTCAGTTATGTGTCACAGCGAAGCGAGAGTCTGGAGCCGAGGCAGAAGCTCTGCGCTCGGTGCTCACCGCATTTCCACGAGTGAGTCAGAGATGCTGCCTTTGTTTTGGAGCATTTGCAGCTGTGGGGGCCACTTGTCAGAGAGGAACAAACAAAAACGCAGCGCGTAAACAGTCAGAAAGGCCTCCACCTACAAGCATCCAGAGCAGATCAAATGTGCTGGTCTGGTTCTGCTGGACAAATGGCCGAGAGACAACTGTGGGCTACGCATTGCGTCACTCGTTTAAAGAGAGTTTGAATAAATGTAAGAACAGTTTTATTAGTTGAGGTAGAACCCGGCTTTTGCAGTGGCCTCAACTACACGTTAACTCTTGCGGGGCCAGTTTTCAGTGTAATCTGTTGCCTGTATCTTTTTCTGTCGGTGTTGTTGTGTCACTCGGCAGTTCCAACGGTGGGAAAAAAGCAGGCAGTGTGAAAGCCGCCAACCAAAAGCGCCGAGCGCGGTTCAGAAAGTGTGACACGCATGAGATAAACGTCAGGCCGCGCAACAAGCAGCAAAAACGGTCCAACGCGGGCTCGCTCGCGCCTGCTGTGGTTTCCACACATTTTCCCGTCTTTTCTCCCTCTACGTCTGCGTCCCTTTAACGCCCAATTCTCTCCCCGTTTTTACAGCTTTTCTGTCTATCGCCATCCTTTTTGTTTTATCCGTGCCCCTCTCTCTCTCTCTCTCTCTCTCTCTCCCTCTCTCTCAGTGGCTCTCTCACGCACACACACACTCGCTGACACACACACACGCACGCACAGGCGCCCAGTTCCCACGGTGGCGGGGCAGCTGAGCGGCGTGTCAATCTGCGCAGAGCGTCACCTCTTTTCACTTGCAAAGAGGAAGTAACGCGGGGCTTTTGTTATTTGAAGTCCCACAGTCTAGTCGTTTTAAAAACAACTGGACTATATCCGCCGTTTATGATTTAAACAGCCACCTATAATCTCCTCCTCGGAGATGTTTTTTACGCGCAGAGGTACGACCGGGATACCCGGCCCGTTTGGGGCACAATTAACTGCCAGAACCATTTGGTCATTTCTGTAATGAGAAAATTCGCAAGCTCTTGAAAGTTTGTGGACCTTAAAGGGATGAATAGACTCATTCACATCTGAGTCAGTCGCGGCTTTTAAAATAGTCTAATTCGGAGGCCACTTTTTGCGCATCGACCAATGTGTTTAAATATGAGCGCTGAGATGGGAAACTCACCGTTTCTTTCCCTCTTTGTTTCATATTTGTGTACAGATGCAGCCAGCGGCCCTTGCTCAGTTCTAGGGGCCGCATGACAGAGAAATTCGGCCAGCAGCGCGCTGCTGTAAACCGCACCCTGTCTTGGACACCACCGGCCCCCTCTCAGCCACCCGAAACCTAACTGGGTGTCACAGATTCCAGACGTGAAAAGTCCAAACTGTTTTAGAGGGTGAACGACTGGTTTTCTTCTGCTGTTTTAACAACTTTCCTATAAAACGCCTCTCCCAGTGTCGTGGCACTATAAACCTGCAATGTAATCTCAGTTAATAATGTCACAAAAGTAGATTGAAACAATAATATTTTTCAAATAAAACTTCCATCTGCCGATACAGTTCACAGACGTTATGGGGGTTAATTGACTTTATTTCCAAGTTCCCGTGGATGATAAGCCAGGGGACGATCGTTTCCCGGCTCTGAGGGTGTGATAGCACCGACCATCTGCTTTGCAGCCCCTCTGCCCACGGAGGGAGATTGGACGTATAGGAAACATATCCACGATATTGCTGCGAGTGGCTCGTTTAATGTATATCTGCAGCAACAATTTAGCCTCCTTCCTCCACATGCCACGCCCCCCCCATTCCCCACAAGATTCACAGAGCTCTGATCCCTCCCTCTAACCGACCGACAGCCTATAACCTCCCCAGCTCTCCGCCCATTCCACCACAGTTGATTCTTTGGGAAGGTATTGTCATGCAAATAAAGGACGCGTAAAATATTCCCCCGGAGCGCAGCGCCGGGCAGAGACTCACACGGACCGCGAGGAGGACACAGCCCAGGCCGCAGTGCCACACGGTGGATTTCTATCGATCGCGTCGCCGCTGCACCCGTCCGTCTGTCACAGGTAAGTCCGAACGCTGCGGAGGGATGGGTCACCCTTTTTTCTGGACGTTTTCAAGCGTCCGTGCGTAAAAGGTGTGCGCACGGAGATCCTCTGCCCCCCCTTCGGCATTTCTTGGATGTGGCGGAATGTGGGGCTGTCTTGTTAGGGGAGGAATCGGGATTCATGTGGACTTCTCTTGTCCCTTTTTTTTTTTTTTTTTTTTCCCAGACCCCCCGGCCCCATGAGCCGCGACACACCCCCAGGAAACAGGTCGGGACCCCTGAAGGGAAAACGACAGGGGGCCCCAAACATGGGGGGGGAATTCCCCTGTGGGGATAGTGGCCGTTCTTCCATTCCCCCCCCCCCCCAAGTGAGGTCTGAGGTGTCTCCTCTCCATCCCCTTTGCAGGCTACCTGCTGCTGCTACCGAAGGGGAGCCACAGAGACCTCCGGATCTCTTGAAAGAACCTTTTCTATTTTAGGGGATTTAGGATCTCTGAAATATTAACATTTTTGCACACCAAGTGTGTCATTTCCCTTCTTGTCCTTTTTTGGGATATATATGTACACAGTGCTCTTTTTTTTACCCCACCGTTTTAGTACCGTTAAAGTGCCTTAACAACTGGTTGTAACCCAGTGTAACTGTGGCATTGTTACCTGACCAGAGACGCTCGACAGGGAGAGGACAGTCACTAACAGCTTTAGAGCCCAGGCAGGATTACTCGTTCACCAGCCTCCAGCGAGCTGCAGCTATGAGCCAGGCGGACGTGTCGACTTGCTCCGCGCCGCAGAGGGTTTTCCAGGAGGCGGTGAAGAAGGGCAACACCAAGGAGCTGCACTCGTTGCTGCAGAACATGACGAACTGCGAGTTCAACGTCAACTCCTTCGGGCCGGAGGGACAGACGGCCCTCCACCAGTCCGTCATCGACGGCAACCTAGAGCTGGTGAAGCTGCTGGTGAAGTTCGGGGCAGATATCCGGCTGGCCAACAGGGAAGGGTGGAGCGCTTTACACATCGCCGCCTTCGGGGGCCACCAAGACATTGTGCTATACCTCATCACCAAGGCCAAGTATTCGTCTGGCGCCCGGTGATCTGTCTCTGCTGTCAGGTAAAAAAAAAAGAAAGAGGTAAAAGAAAGTAGATATTTTCTTTTTTTTTTTTATTTTTATTTTTTTAAAACCCCAACAAACAAAACTATTGAAAAAGTGAAACACACACGGAAAGCCAGGCTCTTGTATAAGCGAAAAGACTGCCATTATTTACAAAGGTGTGCCAAATTATACATATGTGTGTGCGTGTGTATATATATATACATATATATACGTATATACACACGCGTATGTGTGTGTGTGTATGAAAGGAAATAAAACAGGCCTGCACAATAATTTCCCCTCAACGTAAACCAAACGGGACCCTGTCTGCACTCCTGAGCGAAGCGCCACATGGTCCACGCACAGCGCTCCAGCACGAGCCTCTCTCACACACACAAACACACACACAAGCAACCGAGTTTGTTGGTACTAAAGCTTTCTTCTTGAATGTTTAAACGAGATCGTGGCATGCCACTCTAAATGGCTGTGTGTGTTCGGAGTCGTGCTTGGGTCTGGCCCTCAGAGTGCAGATGGCCCCGTTTTTGTTCTGACCCTGACCTCCCATTCTCAGTCCAGTTGAATAGTGGAATTGTGACAGCACGTATTTGACCTGTTGCTCCTCATTGTCCTGTAAACCCCCTTTTTTAAGTTATTTTATGTGAAACATGGCACTTGATGCTACATGGCTGCATGCTGGAATATCTGAAAGGGAAGAGACGTGAACAAGAGAAGGGTTGCCCTCTGTTGGTTATCAGAGGTCTATTTTCTTACATACATTCTTTTTTTTTTATTCAAAGAGCTGCATCATGGCTATCCCAACAGGTTTTTAGATGTGTAATCATTATGTAACAACAAATGACTTTTTTATCATTGTTGTGAAGTACTGTACACAAATAGCTTTACTTTGGTTTTAAAAGGAAAACGGAGAGAGAGACAGTAGCTGATTGCACTCTGCAAGCAGATTTTTGATTTTTTTTTTTTGCCATGCTGGCGTCCAACTTTTCAGGCCAGTTTGACCACCTTGCCAATGGTCATTGTGTTACTAAAAACCGCTGCTTTCGCTTAGTATAAAAGAAAAAAATTGGAATTCACTTTATAATCTTTCAGTATTCTATTAACATCCTAGTCATCACTGTGAAAGCAGGCTGTTTTTTTTATTTATGAAGGTACATTGAGAAGATGCATTTTTGAATATGTTGTGGTTCTTCTTTATAAACAAAAATGGAAAAAAAAATCTGTAGAATAAGAATACCATGGGTGACTCAAGCTGCTTCAGACTCCTAAGAACAAACTGCCCCATGTGGAAGTAGACCTGCCACCCCCTCCTCAGATATCCCCCCCGCTGTAGCCCGATGACCCCTCTAGAGGACTTTCTCCTCCTCCATCTTCTCCTGTTAAAATGACTTTGGTTGCCTTTTTCCCAGCTACCTCGACTATAAAGTATTCTCAAGTTGTTCCACTCTCTCTGGCCGCTCTGCCGCGTTGTTTGGAGTCTGAGGAGGTCCGCGGTTTGCCTGCCAATCGTCTGCATGCCAGTGTGTTTGTGCTCTGTAGCCGCACAGGTAGACGGACTTCAGTGCAGAGGATGCAACGAAACCCACTCCTGCATCCTGTTTTTTTTTTATCGGGGACGGTTTATGTTACACTACAACCAAACCAGTGCTGTCAAGCAAAGCATCGTCTTACCTTCTCGCAAAGGAGTCTGTCTTTCTTTTTCTCGTGCATGTCCCTCCCCTCCCCCCTCATCAGCCTGTCTGTTTTTTTTTCTTTTCTTGTACTCCATTTGCTCTCTCGTTAATTAATGGAATTGTCTGGCATGACTTATAAATGCAGGGAGTTTTATTGCACAAAAATATGGAGCCTGGTGCGCCCCCAGTGTTCCCACGGGGTAACTTCAGGAGCTGGGGCTTTGAAATAGTTGCTACTACTGAGCAGGACCCTGATACTGTTGGACAATGAAGACTTAAGAAAAAACAACGCATGACTCTTTGCAGGATGTCACACAAAAAGGAAAATTAGGTTTCATAAACTTGTCTGCTGCATTTTGAAAGTCATGGCACCCTAACATTTGTAACAATGCTGCTTGTGTGTTTCTTTTCTTGTTGTGTTTTTTTAACTTTTTATTTTTATTTTTTAAAAAGCCTACTGCTAAAATTACCAACAGTTGAGTAGAAGCTTCACAGTCACACTGGTTCCGACTCATGAGAGGCTGTTGTACTGATGTGTGTTTGCGTGCTTGTGTTATTGTGTGTCTCTCATGAGGCCCGTGTCACTGTGTCAGATAGAGAAAGAACTATACCCAACCTGGAACAGCCATCATCCTCCATAACCACAGTTCCACCCCATCCGCTAGAGTTTGGTATCAGGCAGCAAATGAAATATGCATCGCTTGTCTTAAACTTGATTTGTTTTTTGTTTTGTTTTCTTCTTTTTTTTAAAAAAAAATATTGCACTGACTTGTTGAAAAGTTGGCTTTTACGTGTCAACATTTAATTTTTTTTCTGAATAGAAAAAAAAGAACAAACACAACAAAATACTATTGTATAAATATATGCTCCAGGTGATAATGTCCTAATGTGTGTATTACTTTGTGGGAAAAAAATATTTTTCAACAAAGATGCGTGTATCTCTGTGATTGGGTGTATGTATATATACATATGGATATATATATCAATGCTGATCATGATGATATCTTGGGGCACTTTCTTTTCTGAAGTGCTGTCTTCCTGTTTTGTTTTTTAAAGGGGAATAATACATTTGATGGTAAGATCATTGTAACATGAAAAAAAAACAATTGCACGGTTGTGCAGTTATTTGGCTCTCCAGGTCATAACATTTATGACGTAAGGAGCCTGCTGCCGGATTGATGTACATGAGTGAGATGGCGGGGGGGGTTTTCTATAAAAATTAAGGAAAATAAAGAGAAAAAAAGAAAAAGTGCTTACTTCTTTGGGCCAGCTTGTGCTTCTGGTCTTGCTTCATTTCAAGCAAGAGGAAATGGATGATTTTTTCATGAGTGATGCAGATGTTCCATCTTGTCTGATATTTGGTCTGTTTGTTTGTTTGTATTCTTTTATTTTTGAACATTTGTAACACTGTGATGATGACGTCATGTCACGTGGAGATGAGTGCTGTATTATTTTTGTACGTTTGTGTACAAGCCAGTAAAGAAATCATTAAACTCAAATTCTTTGTGCATGTATATGTTTCCTCGGGCCCACCACACGGCCCTCCCTCCTGTTGCATTCTGCTTAGTTGGGGCAGCCCCCCCTCCCCCTTCTGCCTCCCTGTCTTCCAAGCCGGGCCCAGCCCAGATCCCCATTCTCTCCTTTTGTCATTCATCTGGCCTCATCCTTTGACTGTGGGGATAAAGGAGCCCAGTGCATTGTGGGTAGGCTCGGTTTAAAGTAGGTACCCCTCCCCTGTGTGTGTTGTGAGAGAGCTGGTTTTATGTTACCCCCCCCCACCCCCTTCACACACACTCACACACTCAGAAACTTTCCAAAACACTCTTCTCTTGTGCTCTCTTTCTAATGATGAAGGCCCGAGCTTTGCACTTCATTCAGCTTTCGCTAACAGCCCGTTTTCATCTCCATGTCTCTTTCTCAACTCATTCCAGCACATTCCCGAAAGTTTAATCGCTCTATCCGCAGTGGTAAACTCACTTTTCTTGAAGCTAATGACAGAGATTTTCAGCTTGTGTCTGCTGGCGTGATTGTTCTGGCATGTGTGGCCTCAGAAGCTGGTGCGTAAAATGGCTGCAGAAACAACCCATTTCCCTCCCTACATTTTCGCGTTGCAACATTTTCTGGGTGTCGTCCGCCTTCAGCCGTGACCGTTTGGAGATTGCAAATGTGATGGAGACAGTTGTGGTGTGGGAGCTTTTCCTCTCGATGTGAAGTCGAGCGAGAAAAAGGAGTAGTAGTAGTAGCTCACTTCGGGTTCTCACTGACATGTGTGTGGTATTGGTTAAAGCAGCTGTTGAGCTCACGTTCCAAGCAACAGCTGAACCACACATGACCTCAGCTCCGAGTTTCAGCTCGTGAACTGCATGATCTGATACATTTATTTGTCAGATACTGGCCGGCAGGAAAGCTAGTGCCTTTAAACTCCAGCCTCTCGCTGTTTTGATACCGTGGCAGACAGAGCTGGTTATCTGGCCTGCCTCTGCCTCCCTCCCGTCCAGTCTCTCACTTCTGCAGGATGTTTTTGTTGAGCTGGGTTCCCATTGTTCACACACTGAGTTGGCTGGCCTCCCAGGGCTGATGCTGGCTGCTAGGCCCCCTAATAGGTTCTTCATGTGCCTTGGCTTTCCTTGCGCATCTTGGTCTGGCCTTTGCATGGAGCGGTCTCTGCTAGTGAGCCAGACAACACAAGGCATTTTTTTTGTAGGCGGGGGGGGTTGGGGGGGGTGGGGACTTTGGAAAAAAGACTGTGAAAAAAAAAATAAGACCATTATTCATTTTGGGAACAACACAAAGTCCACAAAAAACGTAGAGAACAGGAACAAAACCTCGCACAAGAGTGAACAAACCACTCCGGGACTCTGTCTGGGTGCAGCCCTCTAACTGACTGCAGTTGTCTTTCACACCAAGCAGAGAGACAGTTAAATATCTTTTGGTGATTTGCTGTTACAGCAGCTGCAATCAAGTGCATCAGTGCATCTGTGTGATTATCTCCCACCTCTATTCAAAAGGCCATTGTTCACAGGCTCATAACATATTCATAACCATGCTCTTCCCCCCTAATTTGAAGGCTTACGCTTGGTGACAAATACACGGGCTTAACCGAAATGTCCCGTAAAGTCCTATTTAACTGGTTTTGCAACAATGAATTCCTCATTTTTCTAACAGCTCCTGCTCAACATGTGCCTGGAGAAATGAGCTGAGATTGTGACATCTTCTTTATGACTTCCTCTTGAGTACGCGGACCTTCACTTGGCCGGTGTCTGAGAGAGTGAAAACAAACAGCTAGCTTGAATGGCCTGTTGGATGGGATCG